AGGTTAACCTCTTTAGGCCCAGGGTAGTCAGCAAGTAGGTAAACCTTTTGAAGCTAAACCCGAAACCCGAAACCCCAAACCCCAAACCCTAAACCCTAAACCCTAAACCCTAAAGCTAAACCCTAAACCCTAAACCCTAAACCCTAAACCCGGTTTCTACGGACGGGAAGTGGATTCAAGGTGTATAGGGCAAGTTCAAGGGGTTTTGGGTTCAGGGGGCTTGTACGGGTTCAGGGTTTAGGGTTTAGGGTTTCCCTACACCCTAAACCCTACACCCTAAACCCTAAACCCTAAACCCTAAACCCTAAACCCAAGACTTTGCACTTCCAAAGAAACCCTCAGCCCATAGTTTAGGCTTAGGGACAAAAGGCTCTGTGGGCGAAGGTTTTGAGGTGGCTCGGCCTCCGCGTCTGGGGTGTAGGGTAAACCAGGGTTTGGCTTGTTACTAAGGACATGGAGATCCCGTCCGTAGAAACCGGGTTTAGGGTTTAGGGTTTAGGGTTGAGGGTTGAGGGTTTAGGGTTTAGGGTTTAGGGCTCATTCGCACGTTCCTCTGCCGGAAGGCTGTGGCCTCGCCGACGTCCGCGACGGGAGGCCTCCAGAAAAGCTACTAAGAACGTGACATTTAGGGTTTAGGGTTTGGGGTTTAGGGTTTAGGGTTTACGGTTTGGGGTTTAGGGTTTAGGGTTTAGGGTTCCTCAACCCTCAACCCTAAAAACCTTAAACCCTAAGTTTAGGGTCTGCTACTTACTTTTAGGTTTTCTGGTTGGCGTTCAGCCCTGCCGGAAAAGGAAGGGTTTCTCCACTCGGCACCGTCTTTGACAGAAGAAGTGCATAGAAGTAGAATGAAACTAATGAAACTACTGTGGTCGCTGACTCGATAAGGACGATCTTCTATACATGGGCACGCTAAACCCTGAACCCTAAACCAAGGTGTAAGGATTAAGGGTAAAGACCGGATCGGATTTTTGTGTTGTGCTTACACCCTGAGCACTGCAGCCGCAATGCTACGGCACAGTCCACGGAAGCCAAAGTTTAGCATTTAGGGTTTAGGGCTACTAGGACCCAGAGGAGGCCCTTGTTCCTTTTGTTTACGGTTCCGGTTCCGCTTGAAGCCCCTTTAAGGCAAAAAGGGCACCCCTTTTACTTCCTAGGTTCCTCCCGGGCCTAGGAAGCCAACTTTTGGGTTTATGGTTTAGGGTTAGGGGTTTAAGGTTTAGGGTTTAGGGTGTTTAGGCGTACATCGCCCCAAGTAGTTTCGACGAGTTTCAAGTGACTTTCCAAGCCCCACAACGATTGCTTGAGCCCCTTTGCTTTGCCAGCGTGTCATTCTGATACGAAGAAAGGCTTCTTGCATAAGCCAGCCGGCCTTCCACCCCACCCCTCACACCCCCACTAAAATAAATGCCTGACCCTAATTTCCAGAGATGTAGCGTTTCGATCAAAACTTGGTGGGAACCAAACCTCATGCCTTTTCAACAAACCCTCAGCCCTCAGCCCTAAACTTGGGATGTTTCCCCTTATACTACAGTAACAGTCCTTAATCGGGATTATAGGGGACTGTTAGTATAAGGGGTAATATCCCAACTCTACCCTAAACCCTAAACCCTAAACCCCAAGCCCCAAACCCCAAACCCTAAACCCTAAACCCTAAACCCTAGACCCCTAAGCCCTAAGCCCTAAACCCTAAACCCTAAAACCTAAAACCTAAACCCTAAACCCTAAACCCTAAACCCTAAACCCTAAACCCTAACCAAAGTCTAGTAGAGCTCTGCAGGTCCAGAAGGCCCCAGCGTAGAAGAGAGATCTGTGGCTGTCAGCAGCGACGTCGCGACAGAAGCAGCTCCGAAGGAGCCGGCGGTTGAGGGTTTAGGGTTTAGGGTTCAGGGTTTTGGGTTTAGGGTTTAGGGTTGAAGGTTTAGGGTTCAGGGTTGAGGGTTTCGGGTTTGGGGTTTAGGGTTTAGGGGTCAGGGTCGATGGTTTCGGGCCTGTAGGGCTTATGGTTTGGGATGTTTCGATGTTTTGTTTTTTTTTTCTTATTTTTTTTTGGGGTGAGGGGTTGGGTTTGGGGTTTATGTGTTTTTTGTTCAGGGTTTTCAACTGTTCGGGCTTTAGCTCCGGAGTTCCAACAGCGAGCTGTGTGGTGCAGTGGTTTGTGGGTTTAGGGTTCAGGGTTTAGGGTTAGGGCTTCTGTCCAGGAGTGCTTCCAAAAGCCAGCGGCCGAGAGCGTGCAGAAGCCATCTGCCACTGAAGCAGCACCATCAAGCAATCCAAGTGCCAAGGTGCGTGCAAACTTGGTTGGATATTTGTTGGCGGGCATAGTCGATGGATGTGTGGATAAGCTGTTGGACAACATGCCAGAAGACCGGCCAGAGGGACAAGAAGAAGCAGAGAGCATGCGGCAAGTGACCGCCAAGGCTCGTGCAAACCTGCTTGCCGGCTTGAACGATGGCTCGCTAGATGCGCTGGTCAGCAATATGCCTGGTGAGGAGACTGCCGCTGAAAGCAGTTCAGCCAAACCAGCAACAAGTGCAGATGCAGGAGTGAACGCCAAGGCTCGTGCAAACCTGCTTGCTAGCATGAAAGATGGCTCGCTAGACAAGCTGGTCAGCAATATGCCTGGTGAGGAGACCGCTGCGGATAGCAGTGAAGCCAAACCAGCAACGAGTGCAGATGCAGGAGTGAACGCCAAGGCTCGCGCAAACCTGCTTGCCGGCTTGAAAGATGGCTCGCTGGACAAGCTGGTCAGCAATATGCCTGGTGAGGAGACCGCCGCTGAAAGCAGTGAAGCCAAGCCAGCTGCAAGTGCAGAAGCAGGAGTGAACGCCAAGGCTCGCGCAAACCTGCTTGCCGGCTTGAAAGATGGCTCGCTGGACAAGCTGGTCAGCAATATGCCTGGTGAGGAGACCGCTGCTAAAAGCAGTGAAGCCAAGCCAGCAACAAGTGCAGACGCAGGAGTGAACGCCAAGGCTCGTGCAAACCTGCTTGCTGGCATGAAAGATGGCTCGCTAGACAAGCTGGTCAGCAATATGCCTGGTGAGGAGACCGCTGCTGATGGCAGTGAAGCCAATCCAGCAACAAGTGCAGATGCAGGAGTGAACGCCAAGGCTCGTGCAAACCTGCTTGCCGGCTTGAAAGATGGCTCGCTAGACAAGCTGGTCAGCAATATGCCTGGTGAGGAGACCGCTGCGGATAGCAGCGAAGCCAAGCCAGCAACAAGCGCAGATGCAGGAGTGAACGCCAAGGCTCGTGCAAACCTGCTTGCTGGCATGAAAGATGGCTCGCTAGACAAGCTGGTCAGCAATATGCCTGGTGAGGAGACCGCTGCTGATGGCAGTGAAGCCAATCCAGCAACAAGTGCAGATGCAGGAGTGAACGCCAAGGCTCGTGCAAACCTGCTTGCTGGCATGAAAGATGGCTCGCTAGACAAGCTGGTCAGCAATATGCCTGGTGAGGAGACCGCTGCTGATGGCAGTGAAGCCAATCCAGCAACAAGTGCAGATGCAGGAGTGAACGCCAAGGCTCGTGCAAACCTGCTTGCCGGCTTGAAAGATGGCTCGCTGGACAAGCTGGTCAGCAATATGCCTGGTGAGGAGACCGCCGCTGAAAGCAGTGAAGCCAAGCCAGCTGCAAGTGCAGAAGCAGGAGTGAACGCCAAGGCTCGCGCAAACCTGCTTGCCGGCTTGAAAGATGGCTCGCTGGACAAGCTGGTCAGCAATATGCCTGGTGAGGAGACCGCTGCTAAAAGCAGTGAAGCCAAGCCAGCAACAAGTGCAGACGCAGGAGTGAACGCCAAGGCTCGTGCAAACCTGCTTGCTGGCATGAAAGATGGCTCGCTAGATGCGCTGGTCAGCAATATGCCTGGTGAGGAGACCGCTGCTGATAGCAGCGAAGCCAATCCAGCAACAAGTGCAGATGCAGGAGTGAACGCCAAGGCTCGTGCAAACCTGCTTGCTGGCATGAAAGATGGCTCGCTAGACAAGCTGGTCAGCAATATGCCTGGTGAGGAGACCGCTGCTGATGGCAGTGAAGCCAATCCAGCAACAAGTGCAGATGCAGGAGTGAACGCCAAGGCTCGTGCAAACCTGCTTGCCGGCTTGAAAGATGGCTCGCTAGACAAGCTGGTCAGCAATATGCCTGGTGAGGAGACCGCTGCGGATAGCAGCGAAGCCAAGCCAGCAACAAGCGCAGATGCAGGAGTGAACGCCAAGGCTCGTGCAAACCTGCTTGCTGGCATGAAAGATGGCTCGCTAGACAAGCTGGTCAGCAATATGCCTGGTGAGGAGACCGCTGCTGATGGCAGTGAAGCCAATCCAGCAACAAGTGCAGATGCAGGAGTGAACGCCAAGGCTCGTGCAAACCTGCTTGCTGGCATGAAAGATGGCTCGCTAGACAAGCTGGTCAGCAATATGCCTGGTGAGGAGACCGCTGCTGATGGCAGTGAAGCCAATCCAGCAACAAGTGCAGATGCAGGAGTGAACGCCAAGGCTCGTGCAAACCTGCTTGCTGGCTTGAAAGATGGCTCGCTAGACAAGCTGGTCAGCAATATGCCTGGTGAGGAGACCGCTGCTGATAGCAGCGAAGCCAAGCCAGCAACAAGTGCAGATGCAGGAGTGAACGCCAAGGCTCGTGCAAACCTGCTTGCTGGCATGAAAGATGGCTCGCTAGACAAGCTGGTCAGCAATATGCCTGGCGAGGAGACCGCTGCTGATAGCAACGAAGCCAAGCCAGCAACCAGCGCAGATGCAGGAGTGAACGCCAAGGCTCGTGCAAACCTGCTTGCTGGCATGAAAGATGGCTCGCTAGACAAGCTGGTCAGCAATATGCCTGGTGATGAGACCGCTGCTGATAGCAGCGAAGCCAAGCCAGCAACCAGTGCAGATGCAGGAGTGAACGCCAAGGCTCGTGCAAACCTGCTTGCTGGCATGAAAGATGGCTCGCTAGACAAGCTGGTCAGCAATATGCCTGGTGAGGAGACCGCTACGGATAGCAGCGAAGCCATGCCAGCAACAAGCGCAGATGCAGGAGTGAACGCCAAGGCTCGTGCAAACCTGCTTGCTGGCATGAAAGATGGCTCGCTAGACAAGCTGGTCAGCAATATGCCTGGTGAGGAGACCGCTGCTGATAGCAGCGAAGTCAAGCCAGCAACACGCGCAGATGCAGGAGTGAACGCCAAGGCTCGTGCAAACCTGCTTGCTGGCATGAAAGATGGCTCGCTAGACAAGCTGGTCAGCAATTTGCCTGGTGAGGAGACCGCTGCGGATAGCAGCGAAGCCAAGCCAGCAACAAGCGCAGATGCAGGAGTGAACGCCAAGGCTCGTGCAAACCTGCTTGCTGGCATGAAAGATGGCTCGCTAGACAAGCTGGTCAGCAATATGCCTGGTGATGAGACCGCCGCGGATAGCAGCGAAGCCAAGCCAGCAACAAGCGCAGATGCAGGAGTGAACGCCAAGGCTCGTGCAAACCTGCTTGCTGGCATGAAAGATGGCTCGCTAGACAAGCTGGTCAGCAATATGCCTGGTGAGGAGACCGCTGCGGATAGCAGCGAAGCAAAGCCAGCAACAAGCGCAGATGCAGGAGTGAACGCCAAGGCTCGTGCAAACCTGCTTGCTGGCATGAAAGATGGCTCGCTAGACAAGCTAATCAGCAATATGCCTGGTGATGAGACCGCCGCTGATAGCAGCGAAGCCAAGCCAGCAACAAGCGCAGATGCAGGAGTGAACGCCAAGGCTCGTGCAAACCTGCTTGCTGGCATGACAGATGGCTCGCTAGACAAGCTGGTCAGCAATATGCCTGGTGAGGAGACCGCTGCTGATAGCAGCGAAGCAAAGCCAGCAACAAGCGCCGATGCAGGAGTGAACGCCAAGGCTCGTGCAAACCTGCTTGCTGGCATGAAAGATGGCTCGCTAGATGCGCTGGTCAGCAATATGCCTGGTGAGGAGACCGCTGCTGATAGCAGCGAAGCCAAACCAGCAACACGCGCAGATGCAGGAGTGAACGCCAAGGCTCGTGCAACCTGCTTGCCGGCTTGAAAGATGAATTAGTTCAAACGTCCCTTAACGAGAGCTGGTCTAGTAGAGTGTGTGTGTGTTTGGCGCCTCCTTGTTGTAGGTGTTCTTGGTACACTCTAGAAACGGGTTGGCCACACGCTGAATGGATCCCCAGGTCCCCTTTACATTAAAAAAAAACGCTCAGAAAGAGGGGGCCTTGGCATAGCCTACACCCTAAGCCCGCCCTAAACCCTAAACCCTAAACCCTAAACCCTAAACCCTAAACCCTAAACCCTAAACCCTAAACCCTAAACCCTAAACCCTATGGGGTTGGCAACAAGAACCCTATTCTAACCCCTTGAGCCGCTCGGGTAGGCGAATCTGGTCCCCCCCGGCCTGATGGGAGCCGATGAGTCGGGCAACTGGACTGAGATCTGGCCCTAAACCATGGGGCCGTTTGGGGTTTAGGGTTTAGGGTTTAGGGTTTAGGGTTTAGGGTTTAGGGTTTAGGGTTTAGGGTTTAGGCTTAGCTAGGGTTTAGAGTTTAGGGTTGAAAAGGCATGTTCCAGAATCAGGGGCACCCTTCATAGACCCGAAAAAAGGATGATTCTTGTTATAGGAAGCCCCAAGAAGGGTACCCCCGCATATGCCGAATCCCTCAAAATCAGGGTTTAGGGGATTGGCCGGTTTTTGGGTTAAAAATGGCCGGCTGAGTGTTTTAGGAAGTTTGACAAGCGCCCAGTAGGACCCTTGTTCCAAATTTCTGACGGCTTCGGTTCCCTTAGGGTTTAGGGTTTAGGTTTTGGGGTTTAGGGTTTTAGGGTTTAGTTAGGGTTTAGGGCCAACCTTGCGGGCGGTGTCCTGAAGCCTCTTGCCAGCAGGCTTCGAGCTGCTTTTTTGCTCAGCTGTATGACCGCCAAGAGGCCCTAAACGCTATGGCCCTAAAACCTAAACTTTAAATCTGACTTCCCAGAAGCACAGAGGTTCCTTAAACCCTAAACCCCAAGCCCTAAACCCTAAACCCTAAACCCCAAGTTCCTGAGCCGGGAAACCGAGTCGCCGCCCCCACGACTGCCTTAAGGCTTGTGGCGTGTATGGCTTGGTGTTGCCCTTCCGTCCTTTTGAGCATGTTGGAGTTGACATGTTTAGGGTTTTACCTAAAAACACCTCCCGAGCCCTAAACTCAAGGGAGTCAGGCTTCCTTCAATATGCCCCATATGTGGCCCTAAACCCTAAACCCTAAACCCTAAACCCTAAACCCTAAACCCTAAACCCTAAACCCTAAACCCTAAACCCTAATTGATCTTGAACAAGGGTCCCCACAGCCAAGCGTACCAGCGTAGGCGTCCAAGACAGAGCTCCATGATAAACAGCGACGGCGCTTCAAGCGTTATAAGGCTAAACGATTCTAACCAAACCCTAAACCCTAAACCCTAAACCCTAAACCCTAAACCCTAAACCCTAAAAAAAACTAAACTTGCTCTTCCTGTATCTTGGACCCATAGTCAGCCCAGGCCTCCCATTCTATCACCCCGGACCCTCGACCAGGGTTCAGGGTTTCGGTGTAGGGTTTAGGGTTTAGGGTTTAGGGTTCAGGGTTTAGGGTTTAGGGTTTAGGGTTTAGGGTTCAGGGTAGGAACCTTAGAAATAGGCTTGCTGTTGGAATACGTTTTTTCATCCCCTGAATAGGGGCCTAAGCGAATCAACCTACTGCAAAAGGCGCAGTTTTGAGGGCTCTAGGGTTTATGGCTTAGGGTTTAGGGTTTAGGGCAAGGAACCGTTGCTGATGTGTGGCATGTCGTGTCTGCTTTGCCGAGGCAACTCTCCCACAAGCAATTCTCCTCGAGGCTTCCCTTCCCCGAAACCGTGAACCCTAAACTGCCCTAAACCCCAAAAAAGTTGGGATGTCCCCCCTTATACTAGCATTTGCTTAAGAACCCCAAAAGAATTAAACATAATAATCCCTATATTACCCTGAATAAGGAAGAATATGTTTGTTTTTTTTTGCGGTTCTTACGCAATTAATAGTATACTAATAGTCCTTAATAGGGATAGGGATTATAGTATTATAACCGATGAAGGACTGTTAGAAAAAGGGTAACATCCCAACCTAAAGCCCTAACCCAAACCCTAAACCCATGTATGACTCGACGTTTTGACTGAGCTGGAGGGGGCTTCTCAGCGCTTGTGAAATGTGTGGGCTGGTTGCGCTGGGGGATGCATTGTGAATTTCTCTTCCTCATTTTCTCACCCCAAACCCCAAACCCCAAACCCCAAACCCTAAACTCTACTCACATGTACTTTATAAGGGATTTATATCAGTGAGCATGCACACAGGGCCGACTTGCTTTAGGACGAGAGTTTACTGCAAGAGGGATGAACCCGGATATGCCGTGTGCCCTTTTTCCCCCATTGTTCAGAGTTTATGGTTAAGGGTTTAGATTTTTCTCACTTTTTCAGGAAACTGGTTCTGAACCCAAGTAAACTAACAACAAGGGCGCCCTTCTCATGAGAGACAGAGAGAGCCCTGACCAGCTGTTAAAATCCTAAAGTTCCTTTCTGGGCAACCTCGCATGCCTAGGGCACTGGAAGATTGCATAGGGTTTAGGGTTTAGGGTAAAGGCTCCCCAAATCAGGGCCCATACTGCTTGAGGTTCATGGGTAGTTATGAGCAAGCTTCGAAGCGCGGCAACCTATGTCATAACCTTACTTCTAACCCCAAAGCCTATAAGCCCTAAACCCTCTGGGTAGTTGGAAGTAGGGTTACAAGTCAGGCAATCTATACGTTGACCATATTCAAGGTGCTTTGAACTACCCATGAACCTCCAAGCACTGCTCATGACTCGCTCACTTGGCTAGCCGGCTTTTTTTTCTGGAAACCTGTGTCGCTTTGGTTTAGGGTTTTGGCACAGGGGCTGAGGGTTTATGCGAAAGGGTAGCTCTCTACAATAGGGTTCGTTTGGGGGTCCGTATTTTACAGGTGCCGCCCAAAAAGACCCCCAAAAAGGACTCTAGTTTGAGAAGCTGCCTATGTGGGAATCCGAACTTGATCGTATCAACCGAGTGTAGAGGAACGAGTTTCTTTCAAGTTTTGGACCGTATGCGCCATCCCCACGAGAAAAGCTTTCCGTGCCCAGGAAGTATATACTTCATGGTGCCGGGCACACTTTAGTCCCCAATGCACAATCCCCAAAATTTTGTATGTCCACACAATCCACAGCAAGCACTTGAGGTTCAGGGTGGCTGTCGCTCTGCAGTGACAAATCCAAATTAGGTCTCGATATATAAACTTATCATACAAAAAAAACCTCCTATGCCCCCCCCCCCCCCCCAAGAAAAAGAGAAAGTTCGTGCAATTTCAGCGAACCCGCTACTTTCGTTAGAAAAAGGGTTAGGGTCCCAAGCCTTTCAAGACCTTACCGCGACTCTCTTTTGACAGAGCTCAGCAGCAGCAGCAGCAGCAGCAGCAGCAGCAGCAGCAGCAGCAGCAGCAGCAGCAGCAGCAGCATCCCATTTCGTGACGACCCTAAACCCTAAACCCTAAACCCTAAACCCTAAACCCTAAACTATAAACCCTAAACCCATAACCCCTAAACCCTAAACCCTAAACCCGCTTAGAAATTGAAACACTCGTGCGGAGGCAGTCGAGACGGTAGCGATGCAGGAGCCAAGCAGGCGCGAGCTTCTCATGACATTTGGTGCCTTTTAGGGGTTTCGGGTTCAGGGTTAAGGGTTTAGGGTTTGAGGTTTGGGCTTTCAGGGTTTAGGGTTTAGGGCTTGGTGTAGGGTTTCGGGTTTAGGGCCCAAACCCAAAGCCTAAGCCTAAGCTCTAAACCGCTTAGGGCTTGAGTAGGTGGAGGGGGTTAGGGGGGCGCTAGCGTTTAGTCAAAGCCTATTTGGGCATGTTTGGGCCTTATGCTGCGCGATGGGTGAGGAAGTCTTGAAGCTTAGGGTTTCTAGTAAGGATTGTTAGTATAAGGGGGAACATGCCAAGGTTCAGGGTTTGGGGGTTTTGGGGTTAGCCTAATCCCGAAACCCTAACCCTAAACCTGTGAACACGCAAGGATCTTCGCAGCCTTAGACGGAAGACACGACAGTCACGGATTCCACAAGCGCCTCTCGGAGAAAATAACAGAAAATAGGGTTTAGGGTTTAGGATTTAGGGTTTAGGGTTTGGGGTTTAGGGTCAGGGTATACTTGAAGGTTTAGGGGGTGTATTTATAAGTAAGGCTACCTTTCTTATAATCTCATTTAAGGAGCTTATAACCCTAATCCCTGAAACCCGACCGTTTTCTGCCTCTGAACCTGCAAGTAGGGTTTAGGCCAGCAGTTTTGCAGCTTTTCTGACAGCGAAGTTGTGCATCAGGGAACTTCAACTTAGTGTTAGGGTGTAGGGTCGAGGGTTTAATTAGGGTTTGTAGTAGCTGTCTCACTGGTCAATGCACGCTGCAAGCTCTGTGCGGAAGCGAGGTTCTTGCAGCAGTCCGACAAGCGTGGGTCCGTGCAGAGTCGCGCATCTGGTGCTCAGCCGGCGTCCCAGACCGATGCTTCAAATCCCGATGCTGCGGGGTCGTGATTCTGATGATTCTCCTGCGTGAACCAGCTCGTCACCGCCCTCACGAACTTCATCGTACGAACTTCATGGACTGCAGCGCGAGAATGTGCGCAAGATCCAGCTAGGTCAGGGACTGCAGGCGCACTCCGGAACCAAGCTCCGCGGAAGGTTCCAGGGGCTTCCCAGCTGAAATGCTCTCAGAATCTTTATCCCCCTTGGGAGTTTTTTGTTTTTTCATATAAAACCCGAGGACCAAAAAAAATAGTGTTTTTATTAAGGTTCTAAGTTCTAAGGGGAGTATAGGAAGCGGCTCCACTGCATCGGACGAGAAACGAGAGAGGCTGGTCGAAGACAACTTCCCGGACCTGCGTGCTTTGTGGCCACCTGAAAGGCAGCTTAAGGTCAACGTGTAGTTCTCCTAAGAGATTGGACAACTAAGTTTGGGCATTTCCGATAAGGCACAATGCTACAACCTCTGATTTTGGAAAGCCCACTTTGCACAGCTGTCAAGCAAAAACATAGCTTGACATGTGCGTGCCAGTGCTCGCATCCGGCTGCATCAGTTATATGCAGCAGCGTTTCACCGGTACTGCTGACTTGGACAAAATCGTGAACCCTGAGCCCTGATTTGTTGCATGAGTCGTCGGGCGCTAGCAGTTGCTCAGGTACATGTTGTGTTTAGGTGAAATCGTGAGGCCTGCGGCAGCAGAGGGGGGGAGGGGGGGGGGGGGCAGGGCGGGCACATAATTTGACCTGAGAAGTTTGATGGTTTTGCGAAGGGGCATCCTTGGGTGCCGAGCTTTGTTTTTTCTGACCTTCCTTACTTCAATTGTGAATTGTTTTGTGCCATGATGACCTCTGTTGAATTTGGCCCAAGCGAGTTTATTGGGCTGAGGACTCGTTTGGTGCAGGCCTCGCTAGTGCCGCAGCCTCAGCGACGAAAGCAGCTACCTGAAAGGAGCTGCAACACCTCGGTGCATTCAAATCACCAGGCACTTGCCCATTGCAGATCGCCTTACTTGCCCTTGTGTCGCTTTAGTGTTGGGCTTCATATCAAATCCTGAAGCTGCAGTTGAGGTTCTTGTCATCTCCTGAGTTACTCTTCCAGAAAACGCTGGTCCCCAGACCACATTTCCCCCTTCATCCAAGGAGCTCTTACCAGTCATGGCGTTGCGCGCGGCCCTTGTCGCGGTTTTGCCGGCCCTGGCAGCGGCAGCCACTTGCATGTTCCAGTGCTAGACGTCAGAACTACCCCTATCGAATGGCTTACCGGTTGAGAGCTCCAAAACACACAGCGAAGAGGGACTATTAAACAGAGAACTAGGCATGTAACTTGATGTTTCGCTTGTTTGCTAGGTTCCGTCGGGCACGCCCTTAACACGTTTCTAAAGATAGTTTCATGGGCCACTTCAGTGGTGCCTTTACCTCCTTTTAAAAGTTTCTAATGTGTACGGCATTGGGCTGTATGGGGTATATAAGAGGTAGATAAGGAGTCCCTTTTTCAGGGCGCATGTTAAGTGGCCATGTAACCACCCAAAGATGCTTTGAAATGCTGCTTGCACCCCCCCAGCTTGCAACTGCACAAGCCCCAAATATTCAAGACCGAGGCCCTCAACTTCCACCCCCCCCTTGTCCCTAGACCCAAGGACGATGCCCGGGACTCAAGAGTTTAGGGTTTAGGGTTTAGGGTTTAGGGCTTGAGGGTCCATGTACCTTAGTATTTTTACATTTGGGCCCCCAAGAACATTTCGAGCTTCGGGCTCTCCGCTTCGAGGAGAAGTATGCTGTCATTGCAGCAGGCTCAGCAGGCCGGACTTTAGGGTTTAGGGTTTGGGGTTTGGGGTTTAGGGTTTAGGGTTTAGGGTTTAGGGAGCCCGAAACTGCAAAGCAGATGTCAGCAATGTGTTCTTCGGATCCGGGGTCCTCTTGAGTCAGAATCCAAAGCCTAAACCCTACACCCTACACCCTACACCCTACACCCTAAACCCTACACCCTACACCCTACACCCTCCCCCTACACCCTACACCCTACACCCCACACCCTAAACGAAAAAACCCTAAACCCCTAAACCACGAAACCCCTGAACCCTTAAACCCTAAACCCTCCAAGGTAAGGGTTGAGGGTTCTGGGTTTAGGATTTCCGCCGTCCCTCCAAGGGCATCTCAAGGTGGACCTCCAGTTCCCCTGAAAAAAAGGACAATCAGGCGACATAAGAGTTTAGGGTTTAGGGTTTAGGGTTTAGGGTTTAGGGCTTAGGGCTTAGGGCTTAGGGCTTAGGGTTTAGGGTTTGGTTTAGGGCTAGTACTTGGAGGTCTTGGTAGCTCAGTGGTACCCTTTTCCCTTTTTCTTGTTCAAGGTTCCCTTTTAAGTAACCAACTCAAAAAAGGTGCCCTTGTTATGACATGGTTACTGGGCAACCAGGATATTATAAAGGATCAGGGCGCAACCGTGCCACCCTAAACCCTAAATCTGCAGGGTGGGGAAGTATTCTGCGGGGTTGATCTTGCCCTTTCTTGTGCTTAAGAACCCTGAGCCCTAAACTCCACATCCCCTTTTTTGTACCGCAAGCCCGAAATTCGTTTCTTGTACCCTAAACCCTTACCCGGGAGCTTTGAAGCACCAAGCTTGATGGTTTACGGGTTAAGTCCTTGGGGAAAGGGATTTAGGGGTTTAGGGGTTGGGCGTTGGGGGTCGGCGCATTTGCAGGGAAAGGACCTGGTTTTGCGCAACAACCTCCAAACCGTAAAAAACCTTAGAAGCTCTAAGCCTTATAAGCCTTCAAACCCACGGTCTCAACCCATTAAAGCGCTACAGATGTTCAATGACCTGGAAGCCTAGCCCTAAACACTAAACCCTAAACCCTAAACCCTAAACCCTAAACCCTAAACCCTAAACCCTAAACCCTAAACCCTAAACCCTAAACCCTAAACCCTAAACCCTAAACCCCAATCCTAAACCCTAAACCCCCTACACCCCCTAAACCCTAAACCCTAAACCCCAAGCCAGGCTTCATGAACTACCGACACCAAGCCGATGCCTGCCATGCCTACCAGCTCATGCTGAAGAGCTTTGGGGTAGCCCAGTGGTACCCTTTTGCCTTCGCTTTTGGTTCAAGGCTTGCCTTTTAATGTCACCCCTAAACCCTAAACCCTAAACCCTAAGCCCTAAGCCCTAAGCGCTAAACCCTAAACCCTAAACCCTAAACCCTAAACCCTAAACCCTAAACCCTAAACCCTAAACCCTAAACCCTAAACCCTAAACCCTAAACCCTAAACCCTAAACCCTAAACCCAACCATAACAAGGGGTACCCTTCTTTGAATATCGTTACTGGGCCACCAAGGAGCGGTGTTCCGGCTGACAACATCATCCTCATGATGCAGGCCCTTTTGACAGCATGGCTCCTAAATGAGATTTGGGTTTAGGGTTTAGGGTTTAGGGTTTAGGGTCTAGGGTTTAGGGTTTAGGGTTTAGGGCTTAGGGTTTAGTGTCCAAAATGATCCTTTACAGGGTTGCGATGCATAGGGGAAGAGAGGAGCTTAATTCCCTAAGTGCTTTCTTTATTACGAACGAAAAAGGTTAATTCTCAATTTTTGGGTTGAGCTTAGGTTTTATATCAGCTCGTTCTTGGCAGTATTGAGTATCCTACCCTGATGAAAACCCAGAACCTGCTGATTTCGTACTTTACCTACGGCCCCGATAAGACATATAGAATTGGGTTCTTAAGCCAAAGCCCCATGCGCCGCAGGATGATGTGGCGAACAGCACTGAGAATCCTTTCCCGGGACAGCTCTTCAACAAGCCAGGCGACGACTCGCCTGACGTGCCTTTGCCATGTTCGGGTTCAGCTTCGAACTTGGGCTTGGGATGTCCCCCCCTATACTAGCAGTCCTGAATAGGGATTAGAGCATCCCTACTGTAATTCCTATGTAAGGAACAACTAGTATAAGGGGGAATATCCCAAACTTAGGCCATCATTTGCCAATGCCCCTGATGAACCCTAAACCCTAAACCCTAAACCCTAACCCCTAACCCTCAACCCTCGTCGTCTTCGGAGCGGATCGTGCATCCCTAGGCTCTCAACCCTAAGCCTTTTTTAGGGTTTAGGGTTTAGGGTTTAGGTTTTAGGGTTTAGGGTTTAGGGTTTAACCCTAAACCCTAAACCCATTTGCTAAGAAGCGAATGCCTCTTGGATGTTTCATTCTTGTTGGTGACTTGCGGCATGCTCCAGAGTGTTACTTGCAGTTGTCATTTAGGGTTTAGGGTTCAGGGTTTATCGAGTCAGCGGAACACCGGTGAAGTTCGCGCGATTCGTGCTGTAACGCCTGGAGCAAGATGCCCTTCAAAGCTGCTCTTGGCTGCCATAGAATGTGCACAGTAAATGCGTGCTGGGGCTCACACAGAAAGACCCCAAGCTTTTCAGCGAATTCGGGAAGCAAATGAGCAATGTCATGGTGGCTGCCAACCCTTGCAATTCACTGCCGAGGCCCTAAACCCTAAACCCTAAACCCTAAACCCGAAACTTTCCCTAAACCCTATATATATGTATATGTATATGTATATATATATATACAAATATATATATATATATATCTCATTTTCCCACAAGACCCTGGTGTGAATGGGGGCCCCTGTCCGCAGTCTCCAAAAACCAGGATGCCCAGTAGTACCCTTATTCCTTTTTTTTTGGGGGGGGGGGGGGGGGGGGGCGGGGGATCGGTTCCCCTACAAAGTCTTCACTCAGCCCAGGCGGATTGACTAGACGCCTAATACGCCGAGTCGTTGGTTCCCAGTTGCTCACCATGAAGAAATTAATTACGAGGTTGTCGTTCCTTAGCCTTAAATCCGGACCCCCGAAATGCGCCGAACATTGTTCAAACCATGTGCGACTGAAAAAGAAGCCTGAACTCTACATAGACTCAAGTCAAAGGGTTCACCCTAGACCCTAAACAAGAAACCCTAAAACCTACACAGGGTTTCGGGTTTAGGACTCCAGGGTTCAAACAGCTTCTAGATTTTTTGGGGCCTCAGTCGTCCGCCTTTCATCTAAATTCAGGTCTACAAGGGCTGCAAGATTGACTACTCCGGGGACGCACCTCGCATTCAGAGGGTTTGCGATTGCTTCTTCCGTTTTTGGTACGGGGGTCTAGGGTGTTGACTTCTGGCTTCGGGCAAGTTGCCCTAAACCCTAAACCCTAAACCCTAAACCCTAAACCCTAAACCCTAAACCCTAAACCCTAAACCCTAAACCCTAAACCCTAAACCCTAAACCCTAAACCCTGCCTTACGCTTAAGCCCTCAACCTTGGGAGGTTCCCCCTTAAAACAAACAGTCCTTAATAGGGATTCTAGTACCCCCCAGTGGAATCCCAAGTAAGGACTGCTAATTTCAGGGGGTAACGACCCTAAACCCTAAATCCTAAACCCTAAACCCTAAACCCTAAACCCTAAACCCTAGACCCAGATCCCTTCTTGGGGGCAGAAGGGTTGACGTCGTCCGGCTATTCGTAGCCGTCTTCGTTTTTGGAAAGCAGTGCAGCGATTGGCAGTGTCATATTTTTCGGAACACGTGTAGTCCATGTCGGGTTTAGTCATTTATGATCGTGGGCTTTGGGGAGTTCGAGGTTTACAGGGATGCTAAGGGTTTTGGGGTTGAGGGCCTCGGGTTTTTTTGTGATTTATGGGGTACAAGGTTTGCGGTTGTGCTGTGTGTCCCTGGCAATGCAGATGTTTCATAGGACTCTGGTCGAAGGCTTGGTGCGGAGTTGTGGTTGTACGGTTCGGGGTTCCACGGGGGGAAACCCCAAACCCTAATCCCCCGTCCAGTCGATCACTGTTTGGATCTCAGCAGTCCGTACCTGATTGCCTAAAGCCAAAATGTCACCTCCTCAAAAAACCAATGTATTTTCGACCCCGTATACATCCGAAATCTGCAACCCTGGATCTCAATCCCTCGAACTTAAATTGCTTGGTCCTTGTTCAGGAGTTCAAATGAAGCTACCACAACAAGTGTGTAGGTTTCCAGCGTAGGGCTTGAGACTTAAGGCTTAACGGCTCTGAGCTTTGGGCTTAGGGCCACGGCTTCGGGTTCCGACATGTAATAGCTGACAACCAGAAACCAGATGTTTAGGGTTTAGGCTTTAGGCTTTTGGGTTTAGGATGATCCAGCTTTTGTTCTCCAGATTGTGACCGGCAAGCTGTTCATGGACGTCCTCACCGGCAACAAGGAGGGCGCCAAGGGCAAGGCCGGGCCCCCAGAAACAATGAGGCGGTTTAGGGTTTAGGGTTTAGGGTTTAGGGTTTAGGGTTTAGGGTTTAGGGTTTAGGGTTTAGGTTTAGGATTCGTAGGGTTTAGTGGTTTTGGGGGACTATAGCTTCTTGTTTCGGGATCTTCAGATAGAGTACGAAACCCTAAGCCTAAGCCCTAAATCCTGCCCTACATATACGGTAGTTGATCACCATCCCTGTTGCTGTTCCCAGTATAGCCCTAGAATTCCGTTTACAAGAGGCTTAGGACCTACGATCTGCCCAATTTAGGGTTTAGGGTTTAGGTTTTAGGGTTTAGGGTTTAGGGTTTAGGGTTTAGGGTCTAGGGTTTAGGGTTTAGGGTTTAGGGTTTAGGGCTGACACCCGGCAGCCTAAAAACCCTGAAAGGCCTCAACATTCTCTAAACCATCTGGTCGCTTCTCTAAATTATGGCCCCTGTTGTATCCAAACGGGGAGACCATCATCTTGAGAACTGATGTATGCAAACCCTGACCCCTAAACCTCAGAACCCAGCACCCCTCCTCCGTCTTGCCATCCTGAAACCCTAAACCCTAAACCCTCAACCCTCAACCCTAAACCCTAAACCCTAAACCCTAAACCCTAAACCTACTCTTCGACAAGGTGCTTAAGAGCGGACCGAGCGACACCGTCTTCGTCAACTTCGTGGACCATGGAGGCCCAATTTCCCCAAAAACCTAAGCCTTAACCCCGAACCCCAGTTGCGGTCGAGGTTCAGGGTTCACCCCATTCCCTAAACCGAAGGGCTCCGAAGGATTGTCGGATTTCGTTTTTTTTTGGTTTTTGTTGGCTTATGACTTATGCTTTAGGGCGTCATGCAAACGGGGCTTCGCCCCAACAAAACTCAAATTCCCACATAGTGCTAGCGTCATCCTAAACCCTCAGGCAGCCAAGGGCCAGGACGACACTCTAAGCCTTACCTCGGTAGGCCCTTGGGACATGCCATATGTTCCCTTATGGCTCCCTTAACCCTAAACCCTACACCCTAAACCCTAAACCCTTAATTAACCCTAAACCCTAAACCCTAAACCCTAAACCCTAAACCTACATTTCGGGAATCTGTGTCAGAGTCCTTCTCCTTTGAGGGCACCGCGGCTTAGTGGCTTCGGTGCGTGTAGGGGTTCGGGCATTGGATTAAGGCTCCTACCCTTAAGGTTGTACCGACAAAGCCCTTAAACATCCTTTCAATATGGGCCCTTATACTACCTTCAGGATCCTTACAGGGTCTCCAAACCCCAAGGGTACAGCCTTAAGGGTCCAGGGAATCAACCCTAAACCCTAAACCCTAAACCCTAGATTGGGAGACCCAAGGGGTTGTTTAGAACGCCTGCAGGCCCGGGCATCATTGCCTTCCCGAATGGCCCGGTGCTGACCGTCAAGGCTGATGTGTTTTATGATCCTAGGGTTTAGGGTTTAGGGTTCAGGGTTTAGGGTTTAGGGTCGGGGCCAACAAAGGGTTGAGGGTTTAAACCCTGACCCTAAACCCTAAACCCTAAACCCTAAACCCTAAACCCTAAACCCTAAACCACCCAGAAAGAGAGATGTTGGAGGCCTGGGGATGGCCCCCATGCAAGCTGACGTTCATGGGTTCCCCTACTACCCCCCTCCACACTACCTCTCCCCCTAGGGTTTAGGGTTTAGGGTTTAGGGTTTAGGGTTTAGGGTTTAGGGTTTAGGGTTTAGGGATAGTACCCCCCTCCTCTAGGTTCATGGGGTTAAGGCTATTTGAAGAGAGTTAAGCCTAATTAAGGTTACTTGAATGGGGGAACCTACAGGGGTACAGTAGTTTTGAGGCGGGGCAGCAGGGAAACCCAGAGACGTGCGGAGGAGCTCTCCAAGACCCTCAAGACCATGCAGAGCAAGCACATGTTCAAGCAGATGGTGTTCTACATGGCTGCCTGGCAAAGTAGGGCTTATAGGGCTTAGGGTAGCTTTGGGGGGGAGTCCAGGGCACAAGGTCTTAATGACTTTCCGGAGTCGGGCTGCGGAACCCCCATCTCCAAACCTGAACGGGTTCAGGGCTTAGGGTTTTCGCAATCAGCAAGGCAGCCAGACTCTAATCCCCATGCCATGTCTCCGCATTCAGTTCTCGTAGACAATTCCTGTTTTTTCTGTCATTTGGTTGGCTTAGGGTTCTTCTAGGGTTCTAGGCCCCGCTATTGCCCCCATGCAGCAATAGTTCCTCAAGGCTGAGATCATAGCGATTGCAGGATTTGGAGGTTCATGGGTAAACAGTACCAACATTGAGGTCCTCATAAAAGCTACCTTACTTGTACCCCTAGTTCTAGCTGCCCATGAACCTTCCGGTATGGCGGTATGGATTTTTGTTCAGCCACAAGTAGTGAACGGGGCCTTAGGCCTTAGGATATGCGGCTCTAAGCCCCAAACTCCTATGCCTCCAGCCCCTGACCCCCCCCCAACCATTAAATGCCTAAACCTCTGAACTCCGAAACCCCCTTCAAATTTCTAAGGCCAACAGCTCTGAATGCTATAAGCCTCTAAGCCCCGAAAGCCAAAGCCCCCAAAGCTCTTAATAAAACCTAAAACCTATGCTGGTATTCGGGTCCCTTTTGGGGGGCCTTATTCTGAGGGTACCCAGAACCCGAAAGAGGGGGGGGGGGGGGCTTAGGCTTTAGGCTTTACTACGCCTCAAATCCGATGGCTTTGGGGTTGAGGTTTTCGGGGCTCCGTAAGGCCTAAAAAGCACCCCTAACGACACCGCCTAGGAGGCTCAGTAGTACCCTTATCCACTGTTCAGGACCTTATAGCATAAGACCCTCAACTCTAAACCCTTGGGTGTTAGGAGCGTTGCCTTGGAAACCGAAAAGGGAAACCCCCTTGTTTGTTTTAGGTGACACGGGAACCTAGCAGCCCGCAGGCAAGCCTCATGAGCGACAATTCCTGAACTCGAAAGACTTTCCCCTCAACCTACAAACCCCAAACGCCTAAACCCACAAACCCCAAACCCTAGAAGCCCTAAACCCACAACCCCAAACCCTAAACCCGAAGCTATAAACCCTAAACCCTAACCCCTGCCCCGGCTTCCTGTAGCCATCCCATCGAGGAAGCTTGCGAGAGCGGCTCGATGTTCCCTGACCTCGAGAAGGCCCCGCAAACAGCAACAAGCACTGGGGAGTAGGGGAGGCATAGCGTCAGGGTCAAAACGCTCTTCAACCCCTAAACCCTAAACCCCAATCCCTAAACCCCAAACCCTAAACCCCAATCCCTAAACCCCAAACCCTAAACCCTAAACCCCAATCCCTAAACCCCTAACCCTAAACCCCAAACCCTCAACCCTGAACAGTTTTTTGTTCGTAGTTTACAGGCTTCCAGGCACCGCAGCCTGTCCTTTAAGAGCTCAGCCAGCACGTTACCGCACCTACCCCTCTCCCCCACCTAGCACGCTGACTTGGCCTGCATTGGGGTTTAGGGTTTAGGGTTTGGGGTTTGGGGTTTGGCGTTTGGGGTTTAGGGTTTAGGGTTTGGGGTTTGGCGTTTGGGGTTTAGGGCGTTCTGAAGTGGCCTGTATTGAAGGGAATCCAGGAGGAATGTTGTAGGTAGTCTGGGTAGTATAGCTTACTGGAAGGTTCATGGCTAGTTACAAGTAGGGTTATAAGTAAGGTAAGCAACATTGTGACCTTAATCAGGCTACTTATCAGCTCACTTTCAACGACCTGTGAACCTTCAAGTAGGACATCCAATGACGCAAGGAGGTGCCCCCTTACCATACTAGCTATAATTAAGGGACTTAGAACCCTACTTGAGGATCCTTATGACCCAACTTAAGGCCCTTATAGCTCTACTTACACCTTTGGGGGGGCCCTCCTTGTACCTTACTTATTACTTCTAAACCTAAACCCTAAACCCTAAACCCTAAACCCTAAACCCTAAACCCTAACCCCAAACCTCCCGTGTTCTTGCTTCTTGGGGGGTCCCCTCCTCGCAGGACAGCAAGATCCTGGCCGTGACCGCCTCCAACGCAGATGAGTCTTGGGAGAGTTTTTTAGCAGGGTTTAGGGTTTAGGATTTAGGGTTTAGGGTTTGGGGTTTAGGGTTTAGGGTGACAGCACGGCAGCTGTTCAGGAGTTTACTGCAGGGTTTTAGGGTTTTAGGTGTTCGGGTTTGTGGCTTAGGGTTTAGGGTTTAGGGTGTGGTGGTCCATTTGGGGGTTTCTATTGCAAGACGGAATGTTTACAAGTATGGTACCCAAAACGCGGCCACATCTTTGAGAGTTGCTCATAAGAAGGAGATTTTTTTTACTGCATATTACCCATATTTTGATAACTTGGTTTGAGTTCCGTAACATCCAATCCAGCTCTGATCTGCCTCGCACCCTGTTTTTAGGCGCTAGCTTCCCCTATTAAACCGAGAGTTCAGGGTTTAGGGCATAGGGTTTAGGATTTATAGGGCTTAGGATTTCTGTTCCTAGGTTACTTGGGGCCTCGACCAGCATTGCAGCACACCTTCCGGAAGCTTCCAGCTCCGGACATGTGACGTTTGATGCGGATGCTTGTGTCTTCCACCGCTTTTCGACCGCGTCAGTTTGAACAACACGCGGTTGCTGCTTTGAATCTGTCAACATCGCCAAATTGGAAGTATGATGCAGGAGCATCTTTCAGCTGCGCTCAACACCCGAGCCTCTTGTTTTCCTCACTATCATGGCCTTTGCAGGTCCTCGACTGTGACCATGCACATTTTTGTTACAGCCTGCACAGCCTGCTTCTTCATCTGAACCTGACTTTGTTTAGGGTTTAGGGTTTAGGGTTTAGAGTTTAGGGCTTAGGGCTTAGGGTTTAGAGCTTGAGTGCCTCAAGGCTCCCCCTTGTAGGTCTTTGAGCCCTGAAACCTGAGGAATCCTCCTGGGGAACCTACTGCGGTGCCAGGGACGCAATGGCTCATATCCTAAGCCCTAAAGCCTCAAGCCCCAGCCCTAAACCCTAAACCCCTAAACCCTAAAACCCCTAAAATACCAAAAGCCCTAAACCCTAAGCCTGCTCCAGCCCTCAACCATTGCAATCCATCATTACCCGACATGAGGACCTGGACCGAGGCTCTCGCTGAACTTAGTTTTGGTACCCTTTACCCATTTTTTGGGTTCTGGGTTCCCTTATAAAATATCCAACCCCAAAAAGGGTGCGCTTATTCTAATATGGTTCCTGGGCTACCAAGTCGTCCTTAGTGGTTGTTCACGTAAGGTTCAGGGATGTAGGGATTTAGGGATTCAGGGTTTCAGGGTGTAGGGTTTAGTTCAAAAGGGTTCAGGGCTTTTACTGTAGTTTGGCTTTTGGGGTTTAGTTTACCACCAAGTCTATGACTGCCCTAAGTTGGAGTTCTCCTGAGCTGTAACTCGACCTTTAACCTACTGGCTAAGTGAACCTGAGCTGTTGAGTGGTGGTCGTCGTCGAGTAGGCCTTAAACCCTTATTTGGGCAGAAAGGTCGTATGCAACCATAAGACTAGAAGGCCGGAAGGTTTGGGGTTTAGAGCATTCTCTGTGGAATCCAGAAGGTTGGTACTGTAGGCTAATCGTCAGTTACCGGGGAATAGGCAGGAGCCACCCTAGACTGACCGGAGCCTGCCCGAAACCCTAGACCCTAGACCCTAAACCCTGAACTCTAAACCCTAAACCCTAGTCCACCCCAGTAGGCCCCAAACCCAAGGTGACGACGCCATGGTGAAGGGCAAGAACGTTGGATCCTGTTCCTTGCCTCTTCCAAGCGGGTTTGGGGTTTGGGGTTTATGGTTTAGGGTTTAATTAGGGTTCAGGGTTTAGGTTTTGGGGTTTAGGAAAGTTAAGATTCTTCATCCGCCCTTGGGTTTTGCTTCTGCCAAGAGCTCCCGGCAACTCAGCGTGTAGAGATGACGTGGCAACCCTACGCCCGACACCCCAAACCCTCCGCCCCAAGCCTAGTCTAGTCCCTGAACCCAAAGGCCTCTGCCAACTTTAGGGTTTAGGGTTTAGGGTTCAGGGTTCAGGGTTTAGGGTTTAGGGTTTAGGGTTCAGTCTCAGGCCTGGGAGACCTCTTCTCCGTGAACTGGATGCAGGACGCCTTTGGAGCTCGATGCCCTGTTCCACCCTAAACCCTAAACCCTAAACCCTAAACCCTAAACCCTAAACCCTAAACCCTAAACCATCCCTGCAGAGAAGACATGAAGCAGAGTAGATAGAATATTGTTCTTGGTGAGCGTCTGTAGGGTTCCTTATAAATATTGGTGAGTGTATGCATTGGGGTTCCTTTGGGGATACTAGAAATGTAAACCCTACTTCACATGGTGTGGGTGAGGCACGGTCAACAAACTAAATCCTGCACCCTAAATACCCGAAAACGTAATTCCCGAGACCATAAATACCTAAACCCCAAAAAGATCCCGACAAAGGACCCCCTTTTCTTACTCCTCGGTAACCGGCGATTTCGGAAGGCGCCCAGCCTAAACCCTAAACCCTAAACGCTTTCAGGGTGTGCGGAGGAAGGTTCCCCAACCCAGGTGGGGATTGAAGTGCCACCAGAGACGAAGCCCTAAACCCGTTAGGGTTTAGGGCTTAGAGGCTTAGAGTTTAGAGTGCAGGGTGTAGGTGCAGAGATCGAGTAGCCAAAACGTAGGCTTAGGCCCTATCTGAGCACAGGCACCCCATGTTTAAACCTGAACCACCCTTTTGGCAAGGAAGACGACCTAGGACCTAGACCTAGCCCTATACGCCGCACCAGGACGACGACCTCGGCAAGTTCTCCTCCGAGACTTTCAAGACCCAAATTGCCAAGGCACAAAGGGGCCCTGAGGGTTTAGGATTTCGGGCTTAGGGCTTGGGGTTTAGGGCTATTGGAGAGGGAAGTATCTACCTATGCCCCTACTTTCCTACCGTTGCCGTAGTTCGCCCCTGACTCTGAGCCTTCGGGTTCAGGGGGTTTAGGGTTTAGGGTTTAGGGTTTAGGGTAACACTCGGCTGGACCCTTGTCTCTCAAAGGTTGCTAGGGAGTCCCAGACCAAAGGGTTTAGGGTTTTAAGAGGTTTCAGGGTTAGGGTTTTGTGGGGTGTGGTGGGACCAAACGCCTGTCGGACTGTGGATGGTTGCATGGTCCCTTAATATGGCTCCTTACGTTCAGGATAAGAGGTTCTCAAACGTGGGCCCTTGCGTTCTATAGCCTGTAGAATTGCAGTATGAGGGTACTAAAGGGTTCCAACCCTAAACCCTAAACCCGGATACTTGCAGGGGAGGTTTGGAGACCCCGATGAAACACTAAGCCCTGCAACGTGGCCGGAGGTGACTAAGCTGACGAACAAGAGCCACGTGTGCAGCCACTGGGCACTTCAAATCTTTTCTGGTTTAGGGCTTAGGGCGGATTCATGGATCGTTTACAGGCTTCAGGAACGTAAGTTACTTAAGTCTTGCGTGTGGGGGCTGTGGGGGTTGTGGATTTCGCGTCCAGGTTTAGAGTTTAGGGTTTTGTGGTAAGGGTTCTTTCGTGTTTCGGGGTTCCATGACTTCTGAGTTCTGAGTGCTTGCTCCCTGGGACCCAAAAGACCTTAAAGTTTAGGGTTCAGGCTTCAGGGTTTAGGGAGCTACGTTCATGGATGTGTAGACGCGCTTGCAACTCCCAGCACGGCCACGATCATCTTCTGAAGGGTTCAGGTTTAGGGGCCCCCTAACCCTAAACCCCAAACTCTAAACCGGGTTAAGGGATTATAGAAGTTGCGACATCTTCCAAGCGCAGCAAAGGGGTTTCGGCTTGATTGGCTTTATGGGCTTGTGGGCTCTCTTCCAGCCCCGCAACTTGCGAGGTCGCACTCTTCGATGCTTGGTTTCCTTGTATAGCGCCTTCGAAAACCCCTATGCCACAAGCCCGTTAACCCGAAACCCTAAACCCTCTGAAACCTAAACCCCCTGATCCCGCAACCCCCAAACCCTAAACCCCTAAACCCTAAACCATAAACCCCAAAACCTTAACCCTAAGCCCCAGGCTTTGGTGACAAGTCCTTCCTGAGTGAGGACATTGGAGACGTGGAGGAGACAGGCGCGAGGGTCTTCTCCAGCGGGCTTTACAAGGAGGGGCATAGGATTTAGGGCTTAGGGCAAGGGGGTTTAGGGCCCCCCTTACCATACCTCATACGTCTTCTAAGGCTTTAAGAGGTTTAGGGTTTAGGGTTTAGGGTTTAGGGTTTAGGATTTAGGGTTTAGGGTTTAGGGTTTAGGGTTTAGGGTTTAGGGCGCATAAGCCTTCTAGGGTCATTTGGACACTTGGACGTCACGGGTTGCCTGTGGAGTTGTTATAGGGCTTTTTGAAGGTTTAGGGCTTGCGGGTTAGGTCTGATTGAGGTTCCTTAGGTTCCTTACACCCGGACGAGTTGACTTAATAGGGTTCCCACCGCGCACCTCCAAACAGTCACAGCGTCCTGAGTAGCGCAGCCAACTTGCCTTTAAAGGGCTCCACTAGAGCATGTACAAAATGAAACCTTAATCCCCTAAACCCTAAACCCCAAACCCAAACCCCTGAACCCAAACCCTAAACCCTAAACCCTAAACCCTAAACCCCAAACCCTAAACCCCAAACCCTAAGCCCCAAACTCGGGCGACGCAGGCTTCCTCTCCTCCAGCCCCTCCGACGCTGCGCGCGGCGCCGTGGACGCGCGCGACGTCTACGCCGTTGGGCAGCATGCACGGGGTGTAGGGTTTATAAGGGTTTAAGGCTTATCGGCGCTCAGGGTTTAGGGTTTAGGGTCTTTCTGTCTCTTGGAGTTTAGGGTTTAGGGATTAGAAGTTAGGGTTTAGGTGTTATTGGTGAGTGTATATAGGGTTCCTTATAAATATTGGTGACCGTGTATTTTGGGTGCTAACTATACAAACCCTGCTTCATATACAGGCTGTGGGCAGCGACAGCAAATATGGGGTTTCCGAAAGTAGGTTCAGGGTTTAGGGTTTGGGGTTTAGTCTGGTTGTGAGTTATTCCCGTTCTGTTAAGGGCGGGGTGCCCCTCCAGAACTGCATTCATGGGCTGCTGAGGAATGCCCTCGCAGGGTTTAGGGTTTAGGGTTCGGGTTTAGGGGCCCTGCACACCTGCTTCCTTTTCAACAGGTCACGCAGGCGATGTGGGCTTGGCAAAACGCTGCCAATGGGGAGGCCAAGGAGAAGGCCCCCCCCTTTTGCAGCCCCTGCCCCTCCTCCTCAACACCCCCCCCCTGTGAAGTTTCGGGTGTAGGTGTAGGGTCTAAACCCTTAGAATCTAGGATGAAAAACAGTGTCGAAGGGCGAACCCATACCTATTTTGCATATATATATATATACATATACATATGTATATGTATATAGATATGCATATGTGTATGTGTATGCAAATGTACATGTATATGTAAATGTATATGTACATGTATCTGTATCTGTATATGTATATGTTTATATATATATATATATATATGTGTGTGTGTGTGTGTGTGTATGTGTGTATGTGTGTATGTGTGTCTGTGTGTATGTGCGTATGTGCGTATGTGTGTATGTGTGTGTGTGTGTGTGTGTCTGTGTATGTGTATGTGTATGTGTATGTGTATGTGTATGTGTATGTGTATGTGTATGTGTATGTGTATGTGTATGCACGCATGCATGTATGTATGTACGTATGTATGTACGTATGTATGTCTGTATGTATGTATGTATGTGTGTGTATGTATGTATGTATGTATGTATGTATGTATGTATGTATGTATGTATGTATGTATGTATGTATGTATGTATGTATGTGTGAGTGTGTATGTATGTATGTATGTACGTACGTACGTACGTACGTACGTACGTACGTATGTATGTATGTATGTATGTATGTATGTATGTATGTATGTGTGCGCCTTGAACCCTTAAACACCCTTAACCAGAAGCCCAAAAGCCAGCAACAGCTTGATTTCTCGATTTTTTGAAGCACCCTAAACCCTAAACCCTAAACCCTAAACCCCTGAACCCCTAAACCCCTATACCAACCCTATCCTTGGCGGATGCCGTGGTAGGCATGGAAGCGTCTCGTGGGTGTCATGCAGGATCGCGAGGTGCCAGTTGAGGGGGCTCATAGCATAGGGGTTTAGGGTTTAGGGTTTATGGGTGTAGACTTTCGGGTTTATGGGGTTAGGGTTTGGTTTAAGGTTTAGGGTTTAGGGTGTAGAGGGTTAGGTAGAGTGTGGGGTCAAAACCTTTTGGCAGAAGGGTTTGGGATGGGGCTCGTTGGTGGTGAAAGGGCCTTGGGCTTAGGACAGGGGTCAGTGGTTCAGGGCTTCAGGGGTTCAGGGGTTTTGGGGTTTAGTTCAGGATTTAGGGGTTTGGGTTTAGGACGGGATACAAACTCACAATTCTGAGGTCATTGAGCTTAATCTAGGCTCCACAGAGTCACAGTTGTTCGTTCATCTTGTATGCATGCCTGGATTTGTAGTTCAAAATTTGTGCTTTTTGTGATTTCAGTCGGTTTTTCCGGTTCTAGTCGAGAGCTGGGTTCGTTAGGGCGTTATGGCTTTGGGGCTTAGGGCTTACGGTTTAGTTGAAGCGTTGTTTGGGGGCATTTTGGACTGTAATCGGGCTTAGGGCTTTACAGTAAATGCGGGCGTTGTTTGTCGAGGGTTTCGGCGTTGAGGGATATAGGGGATTCTGAATGCGGGACAGATCTCTTCGCCCCCGAAAAGGGTACCGAAAACCAGAATACCTACTGTATGTTCTGCTTCGTCAGATGTTGAAACCAATTTCTTCACACTGGTCAGTTCAGCCAACCTATTCTTGAGGGTTTGGGGCTCAGAGATTAGGGCCCTAAACCCCGATACCCTGTACCCTACACCCTAACCCTTAGGTTCTGCGCTCCACTGGAAGCTGATTTGGGGTAGGAGGCGTCATCCGCTGCCAGAACCAGTGGTGTCACTGCGGGCACCCTAAACCCTAAACCCTAAACCCCAAAACCCTAAACCCTTAACCCTTAAACCTTAACCCTTAACCCTTAACCCTTAACCCTTAACCCTAAACCCAAACCCTAAGCCCTAAACCCTATAAGCCCTAAGCCCTAAGCCCTAAACCCTAAACCCTAAACCCTAAACCCTATCCGCTGCGGCTGCCGGTGAGCCGGGACGGCCACGCCCGGCACCTTTGCAGGCGCTGCCACTCAGACTGCACACAAGCGCTAGCGCTCGCAAACAGGAAGCCACGCACCGCGCTGCATCTTAGGGTTTAGGGTTTAGGGTTTAGGGGTTTAGGGTTTAGGGTTTAGGGTTTAGGGTTTAGGGTTTAGGGTTTAGGGTTTTCGAAAAACCTTAATACCCGATCTTCCTGACTTCCTCGAAAGCCCTAAACTCGCGGGCTCAGGGTTGAGGGTTTAGGGACTTCCTGATGCACATCAAAGCCGGAGGCGCTGAGGGGAGTACTTGAATGTTCATGAGTAGTTAGAAGTAGGGTTATCAGTAAAGTAACTGATATTGTCAGCTTAAGGTGCGTAGACCTCTACTTCTAGCTTCGCATGTGCCGTCAAGTATAGTTCCTACAAGGGGGGCCCCCCAAGTAATCAGTAGAGTTCTGAGTTCCTTGACTAGAGCAAGCATAGCAAGGGGACCCTAAACCCTAAACCCTAAACCCTAAACCCTAAACCCTAAACCCTAAACCCGAAGCTCTCAAGGACAAACTCAGCGAGAAGACGGCCATTGCAAACCACTTGGAGAGGCTTGTCGCCAAGCACAAGTCAACGAAGACCTCTCAGCGCATCCGGCGATCCAGGGAGGCGAAGAGCTCTCGTTGGTCTCAGGTGCACGGCGAGGATGAGCAGTGAGCCGTGCGTTGGGCCATTCCAAGGCCCCTGCTTGCTAGCTTTTCCGTAGCGCACTTGTCTAGGTTGTGCTGAGCTACGCTAGAGAGCACTGGCACTTAACGCAGGTGCAGCAGACACACCACAGTTTGCTGCATCTAAATTAATCGAGCCTCGTTGTGAGCGACCGCTCCGCGAGACTCCACTTGTTTGTGATATTGTGAGACTGCTCACCTTGGCCCGATGACTCACTCCTTCAGGTACTAGACTTACTACTCTTAGTCTGGGTGCCAACTGGTGAGCAGACGGTTAGCTTTTGACAGACCGCGTTTCCAGTCCAGTGGTATGCTGCTGTAGCCCACCAGAAGCAAAGGCTGCCTCATATGTGCTGTGTGCATCGATGCATCGGTGTATTGCGGGGGATACAGCCTTGCTTTTCCGGGGACTGAGGTTCCGCAGGGTTTAGGGTTCTAGACTGTAATCCTACACCCGCGGCCACCCCCCCCCCTCCTCCCCAAGTCACACATTTCTGCACCCTAATTCATAATTACCTTTGCCAGTCAATTCATAATTTAATGCTGGGAGTCCATCTAACTGGTACTGCCCCTGCCGGTAGACCACTAATTTGACAGACGAAGCCATGTAACATAATTCGTAATTGGTACATCGCAGAGCCTTGGCGCCACGGCCCAATTGATAATTCATAATTCGTAATTCAGAATTCATGGTGCAAGCCGAGCCAAGCCAGGGGATAACACTGCTCGAGGATCACTAGGTTTAAATGTGATCCCCACATGGAACATTGGCACGTCGTGTGTGGGAACGCCTGATTCGCCGAGCCCGGAACCCTGTTCCATGGTCTGCCTGCCAACTATTCACTGGCCACAGGCGTGCACATATCTGATTTCTGCACCCTACCACGGGGATCCGGGCGAATTTCCGGAAGACGGATGGCAACTAGGGTCCTGCACTTTGAAGCCACTTGGGCCCCCGAACTCACGAAGCTGTCCAGATCCGCTGCCTCCCTAAGCGCTCCCTCCCCTCTAAATAGGGCTGATCTACCTATCGGGTCTTTTGTAGGGATGTTATTGGTATTGGAACCTTTTACGTGGAGGCAACGAGGAAGGGAAGATCTGGCGTAGTTGTACAAAATCACAGGCCGAGTTAGTGGAACAGACCAATGAGCCTGTTGTGCAGTAGTGCTGTCACATGGAAAGAAGTCATCCGTAGAGCTCGACGACATTGTCCAGGTCAACTGACTCTCCCAGCTAGACCCCCCCCTTACTGACTAATTATCGGTCTTATTTTAACCGCACTCTGCGAAGAAACGGGAGGGTCATAACCTGGCATAGTTGTACAAAAAGTCGAATCAGGATGGCGGGCCAAAGTGACGACTACGCTATAATACGGGGGGGATGTACTCCCATTGAAGCACACGGATGGATCGTTTCGTTGACATCGTGCTTTTGCTGTGACATACAACCCCCCGCCGAACACACCATCGTCCGACCATACTGTCCTACCATGAGTGCCCTTGCGGGTGACGTATTCCCGGTAACCATTTGAATTTGACTGCCTGGGAATACCTGTTCTCCTTTTCAATTCCGACCTTGCACCCCGCGTTGCCGTGGCTAGTCGGGTGGCAAACCCTAAACCCTAAACCCTAAACCCCAAACCCTAAACCCTAAACCTAAACCCTAAACCCTATACCCCAAACCCTAAACCCTAAACCCTAAACCCTAAACCCTAAACCCTAAACCCTAAACCCTAAACCCTAAACCCTAAGCCCTTCCTTGTAAACCCAGATCCCGGACCAGGCTGATGAGGCTCTGTTCGCCGGTCTTGCGGCCGCGGCCTGCTCCGACGCCTGCAGAGCAAGACTTTGGGAAATGGCGGCGGGGGCCCGTTGTCATAGACTCCAAACCCTAAACCCTAAACCCTAAACCCTAAACCCTGAACCCTGAACCTTGAACCCTGAACCCTGAACCCTATAACCCTACACCCTAAACCCTAAACCCTATACCCTAATTAAACCCTAAACCCTACAACCCTAAAACTCCAAAACCCCAAAACCCTAAACCCTGAGCCCTAATTAAAGAGAAGGACCTGCAAAGCATTCAGACTAAAGGCTCGGGCGTAGGATTTGGGGTGTCGTTCTTAGCGAGTTTAAGGCTTACTGGGGCTCATTAGCTTCGGGCCTGGGGTTCATAGCTTGGGGCTCATTAAGGTTAGGGTGCAGGCAGGGGGAGAGGGTTTAGGGTTTAGGGCTTAGGGCTTAGGGTTTAGGGTTTAGGGTTTAGGGTTTAGGGTTTAGGGTTTAGGGTGACCCTCCGACTTAATTCCCGAGGCAGCTTGCCAATCGGGACTGATGGAAAGATCTGCGAGGGAGGTTCGGAAATGGAATCATCGAGGGCTTTTGAGGGAGGGGTGGGGTGAGCAAGTTTCACAGTTTTGGGAGTTGCTGGGATACGGGGTTTCCGAAATTTGGGGTACCTTATTATGGTCCTTATTATAAGGGAATCCTGCTGCTTGAGGGTCTGTATAAGGGAATCCCTTCTTTGCGTCAGCCTGCACATCAAGGCTTCAGCAAATAGAGACGGTTGTTCTGCACGGGCCGTCCTTTCCAGGGCACGGCCTTCAGTTGAGACCCTAAACCCTAAACCCTAAACCCTAAACCCTAAACCCTAAACCCTAAACCCTAAACCCTAAACCCTAAACCCTAAACCGCGGGGCCGAGGATGTGAACCCTGGAAACATGGTCAAGTGCCAGGACAAGTTCTTGAAAGAGAGGATGCAGATGAAGGCCTGAAACCTCTTACCTCCGACCCTGAATCTTAGGGCATTAAGGTTTAGGGTTTAGGGGAATTTCCTTAAGCCCTACAACCCTGAAACCCAGAGCCTTCTAAACCCTAAATCCTTAAACGGTGTAGCCGCTTGCAGACTGGCGTATGTTCGGGGATTGGGTTTAAATGGCTCTTGTCATATCATGTTTTGTTCAGCGTTTGTAAGGGCCCATAAGTCCTAAGCCCTTACACGCTAGGCCCTAAACCCCAAAACTCTTGACCCTCCAGCCCTAAAGCCTGAACTCTAAACCCTCAACCCGAAACCCTAAACCCTAAAACGCCCTAGAGCCGACCCCGAAAGTCCGAAATCCGAAAGCTTTCGGGTCTTTAAAGCTTATAGGGTCTGGGGCCGACGGGTTTGAGGGTTCAGGCTTCAGCCCTGCAACCCAAAAGCACCTAAACTGAAACAATTGGGGTTTAGGGTTTAGCGTTTAGGGTTTAGGGTTTAGGGTTTGGTTTTGCACGTTCCTTGCATCTCCTTTGGGGTTCAGGGTCTAGGGTTTAAATGGCTTAAGGTTTTGGAGTTCAGGGTTTATAAGTGCTTCAGGCGTTACAGGGTTTTGGGGGTGTGCTTGTCAAATAAACTAAACTAAACCAAACTAAGGCACCCACAAAAAAATCAAACGTCAACTGAAGGACCCCGAAGACACACCCCCCTCTCCGTCCCCCAATCCTAAACCCTAAGCGCTAAACCCTACACCCACCCAACAGAACCCAAGCGCGCCGTGAGGAGAATCTTTAGAGTCAGAGTTCTGTAGGGTTCAGGGCTTAGGAATCTTTAGTTGCGGGGGTTAGGGTTCAGGGTTCGGGTCTTCCCATTCCGGGATTTTTTGTCCCATGTAGGCCAAAAGCGTATGCTTTCATTCCTACGTGAAGCGGGGACGTAGCTCAGGCAGGCCTAGGGGACCCTCATTAGGCCTATCGAGTTCAGGGCTTGTCGGTATAGGCTTTAGCCAACGTTCATATTACGCAGGGTTTGGGATTTAGGGGCAAGGGGAGAGTAAGGGCGAAGGACTTCTGCTTATTAGGGCTTGCGTGCTCTTGCTTCCGCATCTGCATCTAGGACAGTTTCCGGTGGAGAATTGCCCATAGATACCCATTAAATGATATCGTCCTTCTAAGCCTTATATGAGGTAACCCCAAACCCCCAAGACTCCCTAAACCCGAAGGATCAGAGGAGGCCGTTATTCCCTTTTGTACAAGGGCTTAGGTTCGAGTATAAGCCCCTCGGGTTTGGGGTTAAAGGCAGAGCTTTTTGCCTTTCTTGATTTTGCGAGGAACCGAAAACCCAAAACAGCCAAGCCCACCTGGAGCTTGCTGGATAGCTGGCAGTAGGGATATAAGTAGGGACCTACGCACCCGAAATGAGGTGAGGGTATAGGTTACCTTACCCTAAAGCCCTAAAATCTTTAAACCCTAAACCCCTAAACCCTAAACCTTAAAACCCTAAAGTCACAAGTCCATGGTAGAGGCTTAGGGACGTTTCTATATTCCCCTTAGAGCCTCAATCATCCCTCAAACCGAAACCCTCTGCGAACTGTTCTAAACAGGTAGTGGTTTTAGACACCTCTACCTGAAGCCTGCATGAGGTCTGGGTCTAGAGGGTTCAGGGATCTATGGGGCTAGGGTTGAGGGTTTCAGGCATGAGGGATCCCAAAGCCTGAACCTAAACCCTAATCCCTAAGCCCTACGCTGGTTCAAGATGGTCGGGTTTTCGGGTGTAGGGTTTTTCGGGCTTCAGTTTCTAAGACAAACCCTGAACCCTGATTCCCATGGTACACTTTTGTTCAGGGTTTAGGCAGATTGTTTTGCATTTTCTTAACTTTGTGGGGAAACTATAACCCAAAACAACCAAGCCCACTTGGAGGTTAATGGTAGCTATAAGTAGGGACATACGTACCGGAACTGAGGTGATAGTATGGGTTACCTTACTCAACCCGAAAGCCCTAAAACCCCAATGAAGCCCTAAACCCCAACCCCTGAACCCAGAAACCCTAAAACCAAAGCCCTAAACCCGAAACCCTAAATCCTAAAACCCTAAACCCTAAACCCTAAACCCTAAACCCTAAACCCTAAACCCTAAACCCTAAACCCTAAACCCTAAACCCTAAACCCACGACCAGGACATGGACTGCCACCATGAGCTCGCCCATGCCGTGCACCAGCACTGCCCTGCATCGA